TTAAGAAATAAGGCCAATTGCACAGAAAATTTACACGCTGGATATGTATTCACCCCAGTGAAGTTCAGAGGGAGTTGTACTAAAGATGAATTTGGCCCCATTGTGACTCCACTGTGAATGAATATGTTCTGGAAAAACTGTGATAGGCTTTCAGTGTAATGTTCTCTGACAACACTGACGTGATATCATGACATGCTTAAAACCTGTAGAGTCTCTGACAAATAATATTCTTTCAGGGTAAAATTCACCTTTTGTGGAGAACCCTCCATGCCATAGAAGCAGGGTGGTAGCTAGGACAAAGGGGTCCTCGTCCATGACTAGGGTTCCTAGGTGCTATGGTAATACAAATAATTAATAATAATCTGCATAGAAAGGAAATATGGGCAGAGTGGCTAATCAGGGGAAAGGACACATCCCCTGTGTACCAGAGATGTGGACTCTTTATTGACTCAGAATGGAGTAGGTAGAAGGGTAGAGATGTTGGTGGACCTGGGGGGGGGGGGGGGATCACTGGATTTGCAATTACATGGATCCAGTGAGTAAGGATCCTCACATGGAGGTGACAACGGGCAGGAGTTCCTCTTCCAGCCCGAAGCATGGAGTAGCAGCCCTGGAGGGGCTTTACAAATATGGGTCCTGATTCTACGAACACAATTATCTATGCTTGTGAGTTGTCCCAATGAACTCAGTAAACTGGACTCGTAGTTGCATTGCTATGACATAACCTAGCTCAAAGATTCTAACCCATACTGGTTTGTGAATGACATTATCAGAATATGCCTAATTGTTTTATTCCCAACAGGACTGCTGCTCAAGTTGCTCCTGTTGAGGCTCAAGAAAAAGAAAAATGAAATGTAATATGACACCATTTTTGGAGAACTTGATCTGATATTTGGTCTAAGGCTGAACTATTATTTATCAGGGTCACTTAATAATCTTTGAAAATGAAGACAGCCAGTCTTCACATTCTTTGAGGCTCTGTTTTCAGCAGCAATGCAATGACCCTTCTGAATTATACTATATTTAACCAATGAGTCTTCTGAATTATACTATATTTAACCAATCTTATTAAAGATTTATAAATTAAATTTTGGAGAAGTCTATTCTAAAATCTTTAAACATCAGAAAAAACAACCCATGAAACAACAGGGAAGCAGTGTAATTTTCTTATTCAGAAACTCTCTCCTCCCCATATTAAATTCCTGTAACACATACGGGGGTGGAGGTGGGAGGAACCAATCAGAGGCAGCATCAGAGAAGCAATATCAACAATTCCTCCAATGTAATTGTTGCTATCAGTGGATTATTAGCAATGGATCAAGGGTCCATTATAATGCAGAACGTGTCTTTTTCACTCTAGGTTTAAGATAATGAGATTTTGTGTGAGGAAAGCCATGATTCTGGTTTGCAAAGAACTCAGAACACAGAAAAGAATTTAGTGCAACCAAAAGCATGACCAAACCTTGGACTTTGTTCCCAGAACTCAGACACCAGTGCTGCTCTGAAATAGAAGAGCATTCTGTATATTAACATGCAAATGAGGAAACTCAGAGCCCTGCTTCATTTCAGAATTCTTGATCTATATGCTGCTCTGGCTAGGCATGCATATCTCCCATTGATGTCAATGTGAGGAACCATGTAGCGCTTCCACACACCCCATATTCAGTATGCCACAAATGGCTTTTTAACTGAAGTTTTACATAGGACAATCAACCACAGCCCATCATTCAGCCAAGGAATGAGTTGCTTTTTCATAGAGACATGTAACATCTTTCAACGTCAGCACAGGATCTTGGTACATGCCAGTACCCCATAATTCACAAGCCAGAGTTATTAAAGAAAATAAACCCATTTCCTTTTTGATTTGTGTACAATACACTAATTTTCCTCTCTGACAGAAACAATTTTGTAGGCGTTCGGAATGAGATCATAGCAGATTTCTCTAAAATATTTTTTCTTTTACTCCCATTATAAGTTGGTTAAATGCTCACACAGCAAATGTATAAGCTGGGCAAGATTTTCTTTGACACGGTTGGTTGTTTTTTTTTTATTTCTTTCATACCGTTGCAGTACGATGGATTTTGAGGTTTGGGAACAAACCAACATGCTTGTGAGTCTCACTAGTTTCTTTGTGTAAATATCCCAGGATGTGTGGGGAGCCAGACAAAAGTCTTGAAGATAAAGATAGATGTAAATAGTGCATTATAATGTATTAGTTGATGGAATTCAAACCCCAGAAGATAGAGAGGACATATGTTACTGGGGAGGAAGGTTATGAAATATTTAGAGCCAGAGGACAGATAATTTAAGTCTTAAATTTTAAGGGAGCAGGGATTTTCCTGGCTTCTTCACAACCAAGAAACCCGCAAGGAGTAGATCTGAAAGCTATAAAAAGAGACATGAAGGCAGGAGGAAGATATGCCTTTTAACTCCAACAAAGCACATTGAAGTAAGAGTGCCCTATGTAGACTTTGTCCATCATGTCATAATGTCATGGCCTGTTCCTATTAGGCATTGATCGCCTCTTGTGAAATATTCAGCACCATCAAATCCCAATGACTTCGATAGGCGCTAAGTGGGCTGGGAAGCTCACAGGAGCGGATTCTGTTACAGAACTACAGGATGATATCCTACACTGCATAATGCCCCAATTCTGTAAGCACTCATGCACATGAACAGTCCCATTGAATTAGAACTACTCATGTGCATAAGTGCTTGCAAGATTTGGGACCTATCATTGTAAAAGCCTAAATAACTTTGGTGCTCTAAATTGTATGTGAATTTCAGGACAGGTAGCAGTCCTCTGAGGGGTCATATTCTGGAAGGACAATTGTAAATATTTTCACTAGAACATAGAAACTGACTAACCATCCTTAACAGATGAGCACTTCGATTTGTGCTGTTTGGGAAATGATAACAAATTAGCACAGTAACTGATTACATGGATGATAAGGGCTGAGATCCCCTGAAAATGGAAGATTTTCCAGAGCACACAAAAATTACCGTTATTTTTTTGTTATTATTTGTATGACTGTAGTGTGACGTTCTTCACCTTGTGGGAACACCCTACACTCCCATGTTCATCCTTATAATATGATTGTGTGGTATCTAATGCAAAGTTTGTCATGTCGGGTGTCTTCGGAAGGCACATGATGTATACTCAGCATTGTTGTTATGGTAATGTTATAGTAATCGTTGTTATAGTAATGTTATAGGTTGTAATTTCATGTATATAATTATGCGGCTGAAAATGTGTCCTCATGGCTTAAAGCAAGCCCAGGCAAAAACTCCCCAAGAGCAGAGGGACAGTTCACACCTCATCAGGGCATGGATGGGACAAACTCAGCCCAGTGTCACAGGAATAAAGGACACTGGCCTAGGCAACAACAAAGGATCTGTTGGACTCTTAAGTGAGTCACCATCCCTTCCTTTGGTCAGTTTGGGACTGCAATGAGGTAATGCTCACCTGACTCTGAAGTGGGGGAGGGCAAAGTCAAGAGGGAAGAAAGAACATGATAAAAGGGAGAGACATTTGCCATTCTCTTCCTCTCTCTTCCACCTCCATCTACAGACATCACCACCAAGCGCTGATCAAAGGGGAGAGCCTGGCTGAAGGGCAACCAATCAGCCTGTGGTGAGAAGCATCTAAGTTTGTAAGGGCATTGAAACTGTTAAAATCAGCTTAGAATGCGTTTTGCTTTTATTTCATTTGACCAAATCCGACTTGTTATGCTTTGATTTATAATCACTTCAAATCTATCTTTCATAGTTAATAAATTTGTTTGTTTTTTCTACCTGAAGCAGTGCGTTTGGTTTGAAGTCCCCTTGGGATAACAAGCCTGGTACATATCAATTTCTTTGTTAAATTGACGAACTCATATAAGCTTGCAGCATCCAGCGGGCATAACTGGACACTGCAAGACGGAGGTTCCTAGGGTTGTGTCTGGGACCGGAGATATTGGCTAGTGTCATTCGGTTGCAATCCAAGGAGCAGCTTACATGCCAGAGGCTGTGTGTGAACAGCCCAGGAGTGGGGGTTCTCACAGCAGAGCAGGGTAAGGCTGGCTCCCAGAGTCAAGGATTGGAGTGACCTAGCTGATCACTGGTCTGGATAATACCAGGGGAACAGCACATGTAGTGTCTAGCAGCCCGAGCCACGGACCAGGATCCTATTGTGCTAGGCGCTGTACGAACCCACAACAAAAAAAACCAAAACAGTTCCTGCCCCAAAGAGCTTATAAATCTAAGTACAATGCTGTTTTCCCCAGCTGCATTACTGTACTAATTACTTGTGGTGGAAACAGACTGTTCTATTTACCATGTCCCTCTATTTGGGTTTCCCTTCTTTCCCATGATCCTTGTTCTTTTTCTTCCAAATTGTTTCTGAAACCTCTCCAACTTAAATGTGGCTGCTTTCCCCCCCTCTTTTCGCTCCTCCCCAACCCCCACCCCATACTTCTACTTCAGCTCCCACAGTTACTTGTTTTATCTAGAGACGTGTCCCTCTGCACTGGGGAACAAATCAGCCCCTTCCTTCTGTACGTGCTCGCTGCCTCTGTCCCTCTCCCTTCCCCCAATCCCCCCCGCCACCGGCGAGGCGTCCCCCCCCCAGCCCCCCCCCCCCCATGAGCCTCTCCGCACCAGCTCGGCCCCTCTTCTCCCCGACCTGCCCCCCTCCTTCCCCTGTCAGCCCCGACACGCTCCCTCCCGTCTCTTCCCCCAGAGCCGCCAGCCCCGCCTCCCCTCACCCCTCGGGCCTGGCGCTCCCAGCCGGCTGCCCAGCAGCGCCGCGCAGAGCGGGGTCTGGCCGCACGAGGCGCCCTGCAGCCCGCCGGGCTCCGAGACTCCCGAGTCCCGTCCCCGCTGCCCTGTCCGGGGAGGGCTGGAGGCGGCCCACGTGGCTCCTTCCTTCCTTCCTTCCTCCTCTGAGCCCTGTCCCGCCCCTTGCAGCGCAGCGGGCTGCGGCTGCCTGAGACCCTGGCCTGGGGGCACAGAGTCCCCGAGGCTGTGGCTGGCTCCTCCCTGCCGAGGGGTGTTATTCATGCCACCCTGAGGAGCTGCTGCTGTCCTGTGGGCCCGCCCTAGACAGCGGGGCAGCCCGTCATTGCTCCCCTGGGTGGAAGTGGGGCTTGAAGCCAGTCTAGTTGTTAGGGTCTGGTGGGGAGAGCCCAGGCAAGCCTCAGACCTGTGTGGGGAGCCCCACTGCCAGCCACTCCACGGGTGCACAGACACCATAGGGATGACCCTGGTATAAACTGCTAGAGGGACAGAACCAGTGACACGTGCCCGGCTCCTGGGTGACTCCAGCTGCCAAACCCATGGAGAAGGGAGAGCAGCAGTGAGGGCAGCATCCCAGCGTGGCCCCCAACGATGGGGACAGCTTCCTCTCTGGTGAGCCCAGCGGGCACCGGAGGGGAGGTGATCGAGGACGCCTACGGAGGAGGTGGCGGTGAAGCCTGTGAGATCCCAGTGGAGGTGAAGCCCAAAGCTCGCCTGCTGCGCAGCTCTTTCCGCCGGGTGGGTGCTTCGCGGCCTGGAGGCCTCATTGGGGCCAGTTTCAAATCCACTGCCTCGGTACAGGAGTTGGAGTGCATGGCTGAGTATGAGCGTCTGAAGAAAGAATACGAGATCTTTCGTGTCAGCAAGAACAACGAGGTGGCCTCTATGGTCAAGAAAGAAGCCAAGCTGGACCTGGAGAACAAGAGACTCCGGGCAGAGCTCCAGGTAACTAGCAACTGTACTGAACCTCGCCATGGTTGATAGGGAAAGGGGTGGGAGGGAAGATCTCATCTCCTGAGACAAATAATAATACTTAGCTCCTGTATAGCACTTTTCATCCTTACATCTCAAAGCACTTGATAAGTTGAGTATCTCCATTTTACAGATGGGAAAACAGAGGCATAGCGAAGACAAGAGATTTGTCTAAAGTTATTCAGGAAATAAGGGTCAAAGCTGGGAACAGAACCCAGAACTCTTTCCAGTACACCATGCGCCTTCTGAAATGGGGAATAGACCCCTCAGCTATGGCTTTAGCACTAACCTCTTTCCTCCCAACTAGTCTTTGGGTGGAGAGAAGTCCAGTGCTCTTTATCTCCTCTCCTTCCCAGCATCATCTTCCCATCTCCTAGTACTACTCTGTGTGGAGCTGCTGAGTAGCACCCTTATAAAATTCCAGTTTTTAAATGTAGCCTGATAGAAACAACATTCACAACTGCAGGCTAACTATTTCCGATCAAGATGGCATTTTTTACATGAACAAATCAGCAACTAAAAAAAGAAACGGACAGTTAGAAATGTGTTCAATTTCTTTACCTGTGTTAATCTAGACGTCTTTAATAAAAACTTAGATTGGTATAATAAAATAAAACATCTAGTTTACTTTTCACCATTTAGACAGTTAGTTTATTATTTGCAATACTTCCAGCTTGAATTGGTCAGTTTCACTTTTCTTTCCAGGTTTCTTCAGAGCCCCACTGAAGTAAAAATGAAGTCAGTGGGGCTGCATTAGAGCATCAGGGTCTGCTTGCATTATATGTATCTTATGACTTTAAAAACAAACTTTGTATTTGTGGATAATCTAAGCCAGCATTTCTCAAATGTGGCCACCAGGAACTTTTCTTGGGCCACAACCTCCTGGGTGATGATGGGGGAGCAGGGGGAATAACCCTCCCTCAGGGCCGCCAGCAGGAGCTGGTCTCTGTCCCCTTCTGGAGCTATAAACACCGTAGGAGCAGGCGGCCAGTGTGAATTCCCCACCTTCCTGGGGACGGTGGGGCTCGGTTTTCAGGCTTAAGCCCTGGGGTGGTGGGCGACAGGCTCTGGCCGTGCGGCAGCAAGCTCCATCCCCCAGCCGCAGGGCTTCAGGCTCTGGGCTCACCCCCTGCACATGGCCCTTGCTGCCTCCTCCAGTCCCCATCTGTGCACCAGGACCCCAGGCTCTCGCTGTAGGCTCACCTCCCCCATCTTCCCTGACTCCTGCTGCCTCCCATCTATCCCCCTATCACCTCTTGGACCCCTACCCACCTCCCCATCCAGGGCTTAATTTGTCCCCCAGCTTGCCAGGGCTGAGTAAGTCTGCTGTAAAAAGTGATATTAACAAATATACAAAATGTCACTTTTCACAGCAGACTTACTAGCTAGCACGGGGTCCCCAATGTGGTGCCTGCGGGCGCCATGGCGCCCGCTGGGGCGTCTAAGTGCGCCCGCGTACTGGCCGGCGGACGAGCATCCGCCAAAATGCCGCTGACAAGTGGCAACGTCAATAGGCGTCGCCGCCAAAATGGCGCCGAAAATCGGCGGCATTTCGGCGGTGACACCTATTGACGTTGCTGCTTGTCGGAGGCATTTCGGCGGATGCTCGTCCACCGCCACGGTCCTCCATCGTGAAAAGATTGGGGACCACTGAGCTAGCAAGTCTAAAAAAAGGCAACCAAAAAAAAGCAAAACATGCAAAGCACCTTATTTGTGTTTTTATTCTGTTTAGGTCCAGTAATGAATAGACAACTGTACATTATTTTTAATTATTGAGTCTGCAAAAAACCCCTACATAAATAAATTACAATGATTTGGACGTGCATATGTGCATATTTATTTATTTTTCCTAAAGTTAATTAAGTATTTTAGGAAGAATTGTCAGAGCAGCCACCAACAAGAGTTGGTGGTGCACTCCAAGGCCACCCAAAAATTTGTTGCGAGAACCCCTGAATCTAAGCACTATACCCAGATGTACAGACATTCTAGTCTCAATCTGTGTATTATTAAAGCTAATGTTAAAATTATATAAAAAATTGAAATATTTTGTTTCTCATTCATGATAGGATTGCACTGCTGCACTGATTTGTGTTCCAACACTGCAATGCAATGTTTAAATCTAAACAAACAAAAAAACAAAAAAAACTTCTTCATTGAATTAAGAATTGTAAAAGGGCTATTGGAGCAACACTTGAATTTTCTATCTAAACTCAGTAGCTGAAAAATATGCTAAAACTTTATAGCAATAATATTTTTCTCTCAGAGAAATAATATGTTAAATATTTTCAGGCTCTTCAGAAAACTTATCAGAAAATACTTAGAGAGAAAGAAAGTGCTTTAGAAGCCAAATATCAAGCCATGGAGAGAGCTGCTACATTTGAACATGACCGAGACAAAGTCAAGAGACAGTTCAAGGTAAGCATCTTCACTTTATCCCCCAGGAAATTGACCAAGGAAATCTAAAGTAATCCCTTTGGCCCTGATCCATCAGTGAACTCTCTGTGGGTAGGTTCTGTGTAGATGCAGATGTCTGCCAATATGAAACTCATTGCAGGACCAGGGCCTTAATCCACTATTTACTCCAAATTAATCATACCAAAATTTACCTGTAGAAATGTTTTTTAATAACATTTAGTCTTAGTGGAAAATAATGCTTTTGAAAATGGAAAGGAGAAAATGTTATCATTGCTCAACATCCTAGCACCTTCTGTGCCATTTCATCAGCTCTTGCCAATTTCACACCTAGAAGGGGCAAGGAACATGCAGATCAGAAGTTATGTTACATGGTATTTTAAAGAAAAATAAATTGTAGGCTCAAACACTGATTTTGGATATTTCTCAGTAATGTTTATATTTAATTTGTTAATGAAAACTAAAAATGTTGAACATTACAAAAATAACCCCTGTGCCAACTATTGGCACATCTCTTTGTGCTACTAAAATACAAGAGCCAAGTGAAGATAAAAGCCTTAATATTTTTGCCTTAGGGTGATTTGAAAGGCTTATTAATTGCCAAGCTGATGCTTCTGGTTTTCCCCTCCTGCAGCTGATCCCACTCCTAGCACCCAAAATTAGACAGTAAAAGCATTTCTCTGTGCTATTTTAGGGTTTACCGATGTCATCAACTGTAGCAGAGGAAATGTTTTGGTAGATAAGTAAGGCAAGAATTGCTTTCAAAGAATTTTGTTTTAAATTGTATTTGTAATTAAGTCTATCGATCTCTTTTATACTCTTGGGATCTTAAGTACTTAGTTCTGATCAAAGACCAAGCTCGCTAATCAGTTTTAGCTTGTGATAGTAATATTGTATATACAAGACAATTCCAGATATCTGGTCTCTGTATTTTAAACTACTTAAATTAAAGATGTATAGCTGTCAGTACAACAATCCATATAATATAATATAATATAATATAATATGGAAATCTTTGAGAACAAATTATAGTTTTGTTGCTGAAAAAAGCTGGCTTTTATTAAAACTAAGTTAAAAACCATGCATATTACTTATGAGCTTATTTTAGTACTGTCCATCCCAAACATTCAAAAATCATGAGTCAGTAACCCCAAAATCATGGCATTGATTTAAAAATCATGATTTAAAAATAATAAATATTGGATTCCTTTATTCGCCTTCTGGTTTAGAGAGAATGGGTTGCACTTGGGATGTAGTGAAGGCCAAGACTATAACAGGGTTCAAAAAAGAACTAGATCAAGTCATGGAGGATAGAGCTATCAATAGTTATTAGCTAGGATGGGCAGGGATGGTGTCCCTATCCTCAGTTTGCCAGAAGCTGGGAATGAGTGACAGGGGATGGATCACTTAATGATTACCTGTTCTGTTCATTCCCTCTGAGGCACCTGGCATTGGCCACTGTTGGCAGACAGGATACTGTGCTAGATGGACCTTTGGTCTGACCCAGTATGGCTGTTCTTATGTTCACTTGGGTCACATTTTCAAGTCTTTCTCTACCACAACGAGGGCTCAAATCTCACTTTTTTTTTAATGACAGCTGATCACATGAATTCAGGAGCTGGGGCTATAGATCAGACATAAAATTTCACAAGACTTGTGATAAAATAGTAAGAGTTGGCTTTCCTTTTTCTAGATTTTCAGGGAAACTAAGGAAAATGAGATTCAGGATTTACTGAGGGCCAAACGAGAGCTGGAGACAAAACTTCAGAGACTGCAAGCCCAAGGGATCCAAGTGTTTGATCCTGAAGAGTCTGATTCAGATGACAATTGCACAGAAGTTACTGGTAAGAATTCCATCTGCTACTTTCAGCAAGCGAATAAAAAAAGATTAAATTCTGTGAAGTATAGCAAAAGAAAAATATATATGCACTATAGATTGTGAGGTTTTATAATGCAAGTTTTAAAAGCACAAGGAAATATTGTGTGAAGGATAAAAACAGTTTACCATTTAAATTGTGTTTTTTGAAGTCTGTGTGTGGCCCTAAACTAATTAGCCATTTCTGGTGATTCCATTTATTTTTATAGTGCCCCATATTCTAAAAGACACCTTGACTTTCTACCTTCCCTGAACCTTTCTGCTTCTCTTGTATTTTCATTGTGAGTTTCCTGCTATCTGATCTCCTTTTCACAAGTCTAGAGGTTATGTTCCAATTTGGCATATCAGCCCCATATAACCCATCAGAACAGAAAATGAACAAAATTAATTGGAAACTTAGGCAGAATATCAAATTGGAATTTGACAAGGGGACCAGTTTTGAACAGCCGTAGTCTTTAACAACACTGGATATTTAGCGGTTATAGGCATTCAGTCTCCTGGTTTTACATCTGATCCAAAACATGGCATCTGCATCAGCATAGTGCCCATTAGTGCCATGCCAGGGTATTGGTTAGATACAGACTAGGGATCATCAGCATCACTTCCTACAACACTTGGGTTTTCCCTTGAGGTCCAGTGTCCAGTGCTGTTACATCTGACCCTGCTTTGCTAACAAGATGTGACACAAATCACAGCTGAAGTGGCTGAATAACCTTCAGAACTAGAAATGTTTCATGTGATATATATGGCTCTGATTCTGCAGAGCACTTGTGCACTGCACGTGCTAAATTCTAGTGACACCATTGATTTTAACAGGCCTATGATTCCTACCTCTTCCCTGTGTATATTTTCTCCTTTCTTCTTTGTGTTTTTATACTTCCTCATCCCTCTTTTTAAAAAATCTTTCTTAACTTATTCTCATTTTTTTCTTCAAAGATTTGAATTTAGTGGTCTTGAAAGTGATAGATTAGTAGGAAATGGTGCAATCCAAGGATAATATGAGAAGTTAACTATAAAGCTTTTCCATCCAACTAAGAAATGTATTTCACTCCTGACCTGCAACACTTTTCTGCTCTTTAGTTCTGGGTCTTTCTTAAATAGAGACTGTCAATAGTGTGGTGACTTTGTGAAGTGCACAAATGACTGCAGTAAACCTATGAAACTCTTCCTTATAAGTGACCTAATACAATATATGAAACCAACGATGAGGTCCTCAGTTTTGAGAGACCCATGTACTAACACGCTCTGTTACCTATTTCTTTAATAGCATGGCTTCTCTGTAACTGTGAGGGAGTTCTGATTTAAAGCTACATTAGCCAAAACAGTGAGCAAACCTGCTAAGGGAGAAGAATTTCAATTAGTGGCATTTGTCAACAAATTTTAACTGAAGTGTTTAGGTTTGACAATATATTTCAATTCGTGAAAATCAGTTTGTATTTACTTTTAAGCTACTGGAGCCCAATCTGAATATTGGACTGGTGGAGTGTTGGGAAGTGAGCCATCTATGGGTAGTATGATGCAACTTCAGCAGTCTTTCAGAGGGCCTGAGTTTGCTCATAGTTCCATAGATGTGGAAGGACCATTTGCGAACATAAACAGAGGTAAGCAACTGGTGTTTGTCTGCTAAGCGGGTTTAACAAGGGGCTGTTTACATACAAGTACTGTTTACCATGGAGCTCTTTTGCATCCATTCTTATGTTCCGTTAAGGGATTTACTGTGTCTGTCACTCCATATTTTCCTTGAATGACTGCTTTTTGTAAAAATAAAATGGAAGTATAGCTAAAACACACCTAATTGTGTTTAATATTTTTGCTGCTAACAATATGTGCAGCAGTATTCTTAGGTAATGACAGTGAATCTCAATACTTCATAGTAAATATACCAAATACCAATTTATTTTATGGGGGCTCAAAAAAAGGCTTTAGATGACCCAGCTTTGAATAACATAATCAAGAAAAATTTATTTAAAATGTGATTTATTTTAGCCTGATAGAGTCCTGGTATCTTGTCCAATTTTTGCCTTGTTTTTCAAATTCTCAGATCCTTCGCCACATAGGACACATGCATGATGTCACAAACTATGGCCCCTCTCCTTCAGCTGGATTTGCATGGGAAGACCCTTCCAGGCGGAGTCCCATTGACTTAAATGGAACTCTGCATGACTTTGAGGGTTCATCCACACAGATCCAATTGCATGATCTAGATCTATGCATGCTGAATTACATTTGTCCTATGGGAAAGATTATCACTGATTTCCCTATCAATTCCAGTATTTTGTAGTTAGTAACAACACTTTCTAACTTGGCTTGACTCACTACCTTAAACTCAATACTAGCCTGTGACACAGACTCAGTTCAAATTAGTTACTCAGACAAGTAATTTATCATCCTTAACTTTGAGTTTCTCTGCATATGTCACTTTGTGATACCACGTTACTACTAGTGAAAGGTCACTTTTTGACATTTTCAAGAGACCATTAGTAACTCAGTAGTCAGCTTATCAGAAAAATGGTGTTTTATATTTCAAAATACATTTGCAGGAATTTACAAGATTATAGTGAGCTATTAGAGATCTCATAAAAATACAAAATTACACACAAAATTACTTTTCAGTAATGCTAAAGTGTTCAGACTTTCCCATGTCAAGCAGCTTCCTTGAAACTGCTCAGAACATAGGTAATGTTAGCCTACAAAATGAGAAGCTAAGAAAAGAATTAGCTTAAAGCTTTCTATGATAAGCTGAATTGACATACATGGAGAACAATGCAATTTATCTAAAGAATTATGCTACCTATTAGTTCACCAACATTTGTTAGCTTAGTATATTTACAATTAATTTTGAAGCAGCAGTATTTTACTAAGAATTGCTTAGTTAAGCATCTAATTACATGGGCATCTTTATTACTCCTGTTACAGAATTTAATTTTTTTGTATGGCAGCCATCAGCTTGACATTTTGGCTAAATTTCACAAACACTTATTTTAAAAGAACCATGATAATAGGTATGTAATGTGAATATATTTAACATTCAGCTATTATGTTTTGCTATATTTTATAATTTTGCATATTATTTAAATCTAACTTTTAATTAAATCTGAAATATTTGGTGATATATTATTGTGAAAGATACTCTATAACATGAAGTTTATTATTTCCTTAGGGTGTGTTAAGAGAGCATTGATGCAAATGGTTATATGATGTAACAAGATAAGGAGACCTGTGTCTTTGTATATTGTTTGCAGATGACTGGGATGCTGCTATTGCCAGTTTATTGCAGGTCACTCCACTGTTTTCCCACTCTCTGTGGAGTAACACAGTAAGGTGCTATCTCATTAATACAGATGAGACTCAACCTGAAGTAGACATCTTCATTAGGGTGAGAACAGCACAAAAGTTATGTTAATTAATCATTAATTTAAGGTTCTCTATTTTTCTCCTCTAATACTTGTTCATTGAAACTCTGTGGTAGTTCTTAAAAGGTTTAGGAGTTGGATCTTGATCCCATTGAAATCAGTGGGAGTTTTGTTAAAGATTTCAGTGTAAGAAAGTTTATAATGAAAAGAAATTGGGGTTTACTAATAGGTCCTTATTGAAATATGTAATTAATAATAAAGGTCAGTTTATTTAAATTTCCTTTCAGAACTACTCACCAAAACTTCAAAGAATATGTGAAACAATGGGGTACTTCTTTCAAGTTGTTCATTTTCCAGTAGAAAATGGAAATCATTTCCAGGCTGTGAGAAAATGGGAAATTGAGAAAAGTTCCTTAGTCATTTTGTTCATACATTTAACTTTGCCAAGGTAAGTTAATAGTTTTGCAGATTGACAAAGCAAAGAGAAACTGATAATTTATGTACAGCACATAGCTTATTAACATGTATGCAGTGTTCCACTTACAGCATTTTTTAAGCTAGTTTCTTCTAACAAATCTTCCTTCAGACTTTAGATTTTCTAGCACAGACAGTTAAGAGAAAGCAGCTTCTTTCTGAGGTTTCCCTGTTCCTGCGGCTCTAGATTCTATTAAAATATAACATAAAAGAGCCACCATAATCTGCAAATTTCTTGCTTTCCAAGAACAGCTTTTTGCTGTTCATAGTGATAGAATCATAGAAATTAGAGATGGCATGTGTGAACATCTTCTGTGTGTTCTATTTGCTTATCTGTCTATTCACCTGCCTATATTACCTCTGTTTTATTTGGTCGCATATTCTTTTTGTCTCTCTAAGTCACTTCTCAGTTAATTTCCTGGCTCTTCGGTGCAGTGTCTTGCCCTTGCCTGTTGTGATGTAATTTACTAAATCCATGATATTTTATAACAACTGGTAGTGCAGTGCTTTTCACTTGTACAGTAGATAATTGGTCGTCTTACTAGAAGAAAAATAATTTCCTAACCCAAAAGTATTGAATTAAGGATAATGTTACAATTCAGTTGTGATTGTTTCTATTTTGCAGCTTGGACTTTTTTTCTTTTTGGCTGTATACCATGCAGGAGGAAGAAAAGAGGGATTAGAAGTGAAAATACTAAATAATGGGCATAGAGTCATCATTTTCAATATGTCCTTATACAGTTGGACAGCCATTTTGATAATCTCTGTCAGGATATTGTCTGACCCATAATCTTATCAGCAAGAGGCCAGGAACAGTCTAGATTTTGGCCTTTTAATGAACGATGACATTACTACATTAAGTGTCTGAAGTTTAGCTGCCTTTGGAGTTGAGCGAGGATTGGGGAAGAAAACTGGGAGATGAATAAATTGATTCATATGGAACTCTGTCAGCTTTGGTCAGGAACTTGGGATGAGGCTTCTCTAGCTTTTTGAGTCTGCTTAGCGAAGGAGCAACATATGGAACATCAGTCAGGAATGTGTCCCTCTCCTAAACAAAAAAAGGTACCTACAGTGTATGTTGTTATGTGCCATTGAACTGTCACACAAAGGGTTAGGTTTTGAATCCTGGCGATTTTCCTTTTGCCAGCACCCCTGTTCGGATGTGGAGGTGTCTAGCCTATAAACTAAATATCTGACTAAAAAGGTTTTTTTTCCTAATGGGCAAAAAGGCTAATTAACAACTTGCTAATTGATAATACTGCTGACTAACTAATGCTAGCACTGTGTGCAAAGAAGCAGGCTCACAGAGACACTACAGGGGTTCCATCTCGCTGGCACAGGTGGTAAAAAAGAACTGAGGGAAAATTGGGTCCGCTCTGCCCTTTATGTCCTTGGAGAAGTGCGGGGCAATGCAAAGATATTGAAAGCGTTTCAGGCCCTGCTGACATGGCTGGCCAAAAGAATCTAATCTTGTGTGCATGGGCTACATGTGCACCAAGAGTGGAATCCATGTGGACAATACATCTCAGAGAAGAATGAGAGCTTCCTGACAACAATATTAATTTAAATAGTTTCTTGTACAAAAAGTCAGATTAAGATTATAATGCCTCATGTGGCGAAGATTGCACCTATCTGCTAGTTTGTCTCCCTTGAGGCTGGCTCTGTATGTAGCATAATAGATTCACAAGGCAGAACTTTCAGGAATAAATATAGATATTCCTTCATACAAGTACAGTGCATTGTCCAGATTCAAGATGGGAGCGTAATTTGTCCATTTTGATGAGCCTTAACCCTGTAAAATCCTGACCTTACTTCTAATGAGGACAAAGGGAGTTTTCCCTTTGACTTTAGGGAGCAGGACAGGGCATTCAAATAATTGATGACAGTGTGTCAATACGTTTGACATTTGTTAATAATGACTTGTGACTCTATTCTCATGTGTATGAAAAGCTAATGCAGAATTATTACTGTTTAATCTGAGTACCAGTATGAGAGGGTTTGTAGAAAATAGACTTTTGAAAGCAATAATGTGTAAACCTGCTACTGAAAGAATATTAATATCTACAGTCCAATTAGCAACAAGAGAACTTTTTTCCATTTTCTTGGCCAGACTTTGGATATCCTCTGTTTAAATGTCTGGCTGCCTCCGTGGTAAAAGGCATGCTCTTTCAATTAGATTTTGCAGTGAAACCCATCCTTAGAGTTTATGTTGATTGAACTGTGTACTGCAACAGTGTAATATAGTTCAAGAATGCTGATTTCCAATCTAGCTGTTTGCTGGAGGACTGTGAAGAAGCTTTATTGAAAAATCCTGAAGGAAAGCCCCGGCTGATTTACCGCAGAATAGAAGATGGCAAAGTCAGTTCAGACCCTGTGCAGCAGTTAACTGAGCAAGTTTGTTATGTGAACAAAGCAAAGGTACAACATGTAGAAGGTTGTTATGTTTCAGAGATTTGTTGTCCTCTTATTTTGTAGCATAAAACTCGTAACTTCAGATATTACAAGTAATTGCATAACGCATCCTTTGTTATGACATCTTTTGTGAACAGGTGTATGGTGTTGAATTTTATGAAATTGTAGTTTTAAAAAATTGAGCACTGTGCCTGTACAGAAACTTGAACAAAGTTTTATTCTCAGCTGCACAGAGGGGTGCAACTGAGCAGAATTTGGCTCTAAATTTCTTACAGAATCCTTATGGAAAAAATGCTATAAGATTTAATAGAAAAGAACTGTTCTATATTATTTTAGATAATCCTCTGGGGAAAAAAACAACCCTGCCATAGAATTCTTTGGAATGATTTAAAAAAATGTATATACGAGGGGCATCCTCTGTTTAAATTCTATACTATACTGTAATTCCCATAGAATACTATTAAATTTTTATATGCTAAATCCCTATTACATTTTACAGGACTTTCCAATTAGAGAAATAGTCTAACCACATCATTAATGATACATTTTCCTGTAGTGTTTTTTTGTATATCATCAAAACAAAGGAACTCCTCCTCCTGCCTGTGGGTTGACTACTCAAATAAGGAAAAGGACAACAAACAAATAATCCCCTAAAGCATACAAGGCATTCCAGGCTCTGCTTGAGTACACTCTCCTGGCAGCCATCTTCCCTTAGAAGCTGACTTCTTCTTACAGGCACCTTCATTAGCAATGAAACGCAGCTGCCCTAGTAAATCATTCTCCAGATGTCCTCTCTTAGCTTCCATGAGCTGAGAGGGGAACCCTCCTGGGTCCTAGCTCATTGTGAAGCCTTCCTATCCACTGCCAAGGTATCTATGGTGAGGTGGAAGCATCTCATTTTTAAATGAAATTCTGTCTTACGGTGCCAGAGGGTAAGCCTCCAAAGTATTTTTCATTTTGAAAGGTGGCGAATGTTGTTCTGGAAAGAATATAAGCTTTGGATATATTTTATATCTACATGCCTCAGTAACTGCATCTGTGTTTAATAGTCAATCCCAGAGTTGCTTCATACTTTGTCATTAACTTTTTCAGCTCATTGATCACATGGGAGGAGTGGAAGAAGGAGCGTATGAAACTTATAATTGTGTGGAAAAGATCATTAAACAGGTAGAGTACATGATGCATGTATTCCACATGAAAGGCTACTTTGCACATTCCTGCTTACAATTCGAATGATAGACTCTGGGGCAGTGCCATCCAGGGCTTTACAAAATTGCCATATTGCCAGTACTCTGCAAGCACTGTAGTAAATCCACAGTCTATTTAATAATCTATTTATATTCACTACAAATGAGTGATGTTTTGTCATAATTCAAAGGCCTCCATATGTTTCAGCATTTTTAATACCTGGAAGTAAGGAAAGCCACAACTGCATAAAATAGTTTAAGACCTATGCTACTGTAGGCAACCTCCATTATGGGAAAACTGAAAGCACCTTCTTGAGATCTCAGTATAAAGTGTCACTAGGACTCATTTGGTCACATTCTCTGCTGGCGTAAATGGGCACAGATCCATTGACATGAATAGAATTCACTCATCTACCCCAGCATTGTTACCTAAAGCGGGAAGGGATATAGTGCATAAAAACTGTCCTGTCCAGTGTGTGTCAGTATGGTATGCAGCCCATACTATATATATGGAATACATTTCATGCCACAAATGTAAGTCCAAAATGACATGCAAGCGGTGCCCACTGCCTAGTTGAAAGAATCTGGGGCAATGATAGCATATACTTTTAAGGAATAAGTTACAATATTTCCATGTGGTTTGTTTCTTACACAGGATATATTTGGCTGTGAAAGCACAGAAGTAGAAGGCAAGGATTTGGGTAATAAAGAGGAATCCACTGCACCCGAAGAGGAAGTTTTTGGAGATGTACTGTGGGATGCACATGATGAACAAGAACAGATGGAAGCTTTCCAGCAGGCTTCTAACTCAACATGTGAACTAGGATTTGAGAAAGTAAGCAGATAGAAATGTCTTTTGATTAAGGGAAATAAATGGCTCTCTGTTTCATGTGCAGCAATGATGCTGTTATATGGAAGGACCTATGTTTGAGAACAACCTTGGGGCTTTTACACCTTAGGCTAGAGGAGACCATATGTGTTAGACAGATGACATATTTAGTTTCTGGAACAATGCCAGTTATGTCTGTCTTAAAGTTTTATTGATGAAGAAATGGTCCTTGTTTCTCCATTGGAGGAAATGTTGCCGTGATAGCATGCCGTTTAGAAATAAGGGGTTCTCTTAGAAGGTGAGTAACACACCATACTTTGAAGCCTAAATAAAAGGCCTCAAACAGCTTTTTGAAGCAAATGAAAGCCCTGTCTCAATACAGAGAATTAGGTCTGTTGGAATTGGATAATGAAAAGACTATCATATAGTTCCACAATCTTAATGTATCTGAGTCTGTGTGAGAGAAAGACATAGTAAAATTAAAAATAAAGGGGTACTGAAATGCTCAGTACTTCCTGGACTGCCTCACCTGTAAACCCTTGTAAAACTATGAGTGTCAAAAACAGAGTTCTGTTGGAGGGGAAGACGCTTAAGGAAATCGAGGCTCAGGTGATCTTCAGTGGGATTCTGCCTGTTCCTAGAGAAGGGCAACAAAGGTGTGACAAGATTATGGCGATCAACAGATGGCTCAGGCAGTGGTGCTACAAGGAGGGCTTTGGGATGTATGGCCACTGGGAAGCATTCATGGACAGAGGACTGTTCTCTCGGGATGGACTTCACCTGAGTAAGGAGGGAAATAGACTTCTAGGATGGAGGCTGGCGCAACTGATGAAGAGAGCTTTAAACTAGAAATTTGGGGGAGATGGTTGGGAGATGTCCAGGTAATCTCCACTCCGGAATTTAACATTGAAAAGGAAGAAAACAAAGTAAGAAAGGATACAGTCGTGGGTATGAGAATGGACGTAAGGAGGAAAGGTTGTGTAGATACCAGTCTAATAGGTGACACTGGCGGTAGAATGTCTGTGCCTAATCGGGTAAAGGATGTCAGTGAAGCCAAACGGCAAAAATTAAGATGTTTGTACACTAATGCGAGGAGCCTAGGTAACAAAATGGAGGAACTAGAGCTACTGGTGCAGGAAGTGAAACCGGATATTATAGGGTTAACAGAAACATGGTGGAATAGTAGTCATGACTGGAGTACAGGTATTGAAGGCTATGTGCTGTTTAGGAAAGACAGAAATAAAGGCAAAGGTGGTGGAGTAGAATTGTATATCAATGATGAGGTAGACTGTAAAGAAATAAGTGATGGAATGGAGAAGACAGAGTCTCTCTGGGCAAAAATCACATTGGGAAAGAAAGCTACTAGAGCCTCCCCTGAGATACTGCTTGGGGTGTGCTACAGACCACCGGGCTCCGATTTGGATATGGATGGAGACCTCTTTAATCTTTTTAATGAAGTAAACACTAATGGGAATTGTGTGATCATGGGAGACTTTAACTTCCCAGATATAGACTGGAGGACAAGTGCTAGTAATAATAATAATAGGGCTCAGATTTTCCTGGATGCGATAGCTGATGGATTCCTTCACCAAGTAGTTGAAGAACCAACAAGAGGTGATGACATTTTAGATTTGGTTTTGGTGAGTAGTGAGGACCTCATAGAAGAAATGGTTGTAGGGGACAACCTTGGTTCGAGCGATCATGAGCTAATTCAGTTCAAACTAGATGGAAGGATAAACAAAAATAGATCTGGGACTAGGGTTTTTGATTTTAAAAGGGCTAACTTTAAAGAATTAAGGAAATTAGTTAGGGAAGTGGATTGGACTGAAGAACTTGTGGATCTAAAGGCGGAGGAGGCCTGGAATTACTTCAAGTCAAAGTTACAGAAACTATCAGAAGCCTGCATCCCAAGAAAGGGGAAAAAATTCATAGGCAGGAGTTGTAGACCAAGCTGGATGAGCAAGCATCTCAGAGAGGTGATTAAGAAAAAGCAGAAAGCCTACAAGGAGTGGAAGATGGGAGGGATTAGCAAGGAAAGCTACCTTATTGAGGTCAGAACATGCAGGGATAAAGTGAGAAAGGCCAAAAGCCATGTAGAGTTGGACCTTGCAAAGGGAATTAAAACTAATAGTAAAAGGTTCTATAGCCGTATAAATAAGAAGAAAACAAAGAGAGAAGAAATGGGACCACTAAACACTGAGGATGGAGTGGAGGTTAAGGATAATCTAGACATGGCCCAATATCTAAACAAATACTTTGCCTCAGTCTTTAATGAGGCTAATGAGGAGCTTAGGGATAATGGTAGGATGACGAATGACGAGATGGAGGTAGATATTACCGCATCCGAGGTAGAAGCCAAACTCAAACAGCTTAATGGGACTAAATCGGGGGGCCCAGATAATCTTCATCCAAGAAAATTAAAGGAACTGGCACATGAAATTGCAAGCCCATTAGCAAGAATTTTTAATGAATCAGTAAACTCAGGGGTTGTACCGTACAACTGGAGAATTGCTAACATAGTCCCTATTTTTAAGAAGGGGAAAAAAAGTGATCCGAGTAACTATAGGCCTGTTAGTTTGACATCTGTAGTATGCAAGGTCTTGGAAAAAATTTTGAAGGAGAAAGTAGTTAAGGACATTGAGGTCAACGTTAATTGGGACAAAATACAACATGGCTTTACAAAAGGTAGATCATGCCAAACCAACCTGATCTCCTTCTTTGAGAAGGTAACAGATTTTTTAGACAAAGGAAATGCAGTGGATCTAATTTACCTCGATTTCAGTAAGGCATTTGATACAGTTCCACATGGGGAATTATTAGCTAAATTGGAAAAGATGGGGATCAATATGAAAATTTAAAGGTGGATAAGGAACTGGTTAAAGGGGAGACTACAACGGGTCATACTGAAAGGTGAACTGTCAGGCTGGAAGGAAGTTACTAGTGGAGTTCCTCAGGGATCGGTTTTGGGACCAATCTTATTTAATCTTTTTATTACTGACCTTGGCACAAAAAGTGGGAATGTGCTAATAAAGTTTGCGGATGATACAAAGCTGGGAGGTATTGCTAATACAGAGAAGGACCGGGATATCATACAGGAAGATCTGGATGACCTTGTAAACTGGAGTAATAGTAATAGGATGAAATTTAATAGTGAATAGTGCAAGGTCATGCATTTAGGGATTAATAACAAGAATTTTGGTTATAAATTGGGGACACATCAGTTGGAAGTAACAGAGGAGGAGAAGGACCTTGGAGTATTGGTTGATCACAGGATGACTATGAGCCGCCAATGTGATATGGCCGTTAAAAAAGCTAATGCGGTCTTGGGATGCATCAGGCGAGGTATTTCCAGTAAAGATAAGGAGGTGTTAGTACTGTTATACAAGGCACTGGTGAGACCTCATCTGGAATATTGTGTGCAGTTCTGGTCTCCCATGTTTAAGAAGGATGAATTCAAACTGGAACAGGTACAGAGAAGGGCTACTAGGATGATCCAAGGAATGGAAAACCTGTCTTATGAAAGGAGACTCAAAGAGCTTGGCTTGTTTAGCCTAACCAAAAGAAGGCTGAGGGGAGATATGATTGCTCTTTATAAATATATCAGAGGGATAAATATCAGGGAGGGAGAGGAATTATTCAAGCTCAGTACCAATGTGGACACAAGAACAAATGGATATAAACTGGACATTAGGAAGTTTAGACTTGAAATTAGATGAAGGTTTCTAACCATTAGAGGAGTGAAGTTCTGGAACAGCCCTCCAAGGGGAGTAGTGGGGGCAAAAGACATATCTGGCTTCAAGACTAAGCTTGATAAGTTTATGGAGGGGATGGTATGATGGGATAGCCTAATTTTGGCAATTAATTGATCTTTGATTATTAGCAGGTAAATATGCCCAATGGTCTGTGATGGGATGTTAGATGGGGTGGGATCTGAGTTACTACAGAGAATTCTTTCCTGAGTGCTGGCTGGTGAGTCTTGCCCACATGCTCAGGGTTTAAGTGATCGCCATATTTGGGGTCGGGAAGGAATTTTCCTCCAGGGCAGATTGACAGAGGCTCTGGAGGTTTTTTGCCTTCCTCTGCAGTGTGGGGCACGGGTCACTTGCTGGAGGAGTCTCTGAACCTTGACGTCTTTAAACCAGTATTTGAGGACTTCAATAACTCAGGCATAGGTTAGGGATTTGTTACAGGAGTGGGTGGGTGAGATTCTGTGGCCTGCGTTGTGCAGGAGGTCAGACTAGATGATTATAATGGTCCCTTCTGACCTTAAAGTCTATGAGATACACCTAGAAAGGATTGAATTAATATATCTAGAGGAATCTGTGAAAAGTGCCTCTGGTGAGGAATTATGTTGCTGCTTGAATAAGTCGGTGTGCTTTCATGCTGTGCTGTGCTTCCTAGAGGAACTGGCTGACAATGTATGCTTGTGTCTCTTGGAGATGCAGCACGCACAAGCACAGCTCCAAGAAAGCAGGGCAAACGTGGCTATAAGCCATCATTTTGTCTCTGGGATTTTGGGCAGATTGGGAACCAAAATGGCCCATGCTGTAACTGCTCTAACTTACAGCAGTCCTCCCTGAACTGTCTTTGAACTGCTCTGCAACCTGGAGCTTCTCAAAATGGCTGTTGTACCATGCACTATGACCGCACCCCCTGTTCCAGGACTCGTGAGGGGTCCTGTGTAAGCCCTGGTCTATCCACAGTTTTTGTATTGATTGAACTATTTCGGTTAAGGGTATGAATTTTCTACTGAAGTAGTTAAATCAATATAACCCCTAGTTATAGCAGCATAAAGGTGCCTTATACCAGCGCAGCTGTTCCTCCACACGAATAAGCTATACCATTCACCTATAAATGCGTTCACACTAGGGGGTTGCACCACTTTAACAACATACGGGAATAGTTAAAGTCGTATAATTTCTTTGTTAGATACGATCTAAGTGAGCCGACAGCTGTCCTATGCAGTACCTGTACCGAGGGAACCCAGGCTCAGGGACTTTTATGGCTCCTCTACACTGCCACAGCAGCACTCAGGGGCTAGGCCGTAACGGGAGAGAATCTCTTCCATGAGGTTTTGGAATGCAAAAATGTAATGATAGGGATCAAATGTGAGGAGTTAGTCCTGGAAAACTGTCCATCTCCTACTGACAGATGTTGTGTCCCATACATTATTGGCAAACCTGATACAGTCTGCTGTGCTGCCTCCAATAGCTGGAACAGAGACAAGTTTGAATGCTGTTTTTCCAGTAAATTTGATTAACTTATTTTAGAAATGGAAATTAAAAAGTTAACACAGAGATAATTCCTTTCTGCTATTCTTCATTCATATTATTCTGTACTTCTGGCTCTATAAGAATTTGTAGCTTCTAAAAATAGCCAGTTCCATATAATCAAGTATAACTACTTGTAGCAATAGGTGACATGGAATATTAGAGCACTATCCTTTTGTCCTTGGCTATCTATCTTAGTTATTTATGTGCCCCCCCTCCCCCATCAACATAGTATCTGAGTGCCTGTATTTATCGTCACGACACTCTGTGTGTCAGAGCTATTATCCTCATTTTAGAGATGGGTAACTGAGGCACAGAGAGGCTAAGTGACTTGCCCAAGGTCACACAGAAGTCTGTGATGCAGCAGGGAATTAAACCTAATGCACTAACCCCTGGACCATCCTTCCGTCCTTGGAGGTCTACATTCAAATTTGCCTTGTCACACGTCAAAATGAATTTTTGTCTCACTCTAGTCCATAATGGACATTTGCTCACCTCATAAAACCACAACACAATAATTTAGTCCAGTTGGTACTACATTCTCATGAGACACATGTCTGGAACACCGCTGGGATCTGGCACGCCAAGATTGCAGTACATTAGCAGAGGTGCAGGGGGAATTGCATGCCTTCTTGTACTAGGTCTTACTGTACCAGTGCTACTAGTCAGTCACATATATTAGTACTGCAAATTCATCCCAAACTAATTTTTAAAAATTATTTTCTGCTTTAAAACTTTTTATGGAAGAGATATTAAATAGTAGTTTTTAGTGATTCTAGCACTTTCCATTCTTCCTTCCCCATTAAAAAAGCAACAACAAAACCACTTTGTTTCTGTAGCCATATATTTTGTTTTACTCTTAGTCCCCTTGACTTCAATGGAACTAAACATTCTTAAAGTTAAGTATATGCTTAAATATTTGGAGGATGCATTAATCAGTATATTAATTAATCCGTATATGTATTTCTTTAATACTGGAGCCATTGTAACTTAAATTGTTGTGTTTGCAGTATTATGAACGTCTAAATGATCTAGTGGCAGCACCAGCGCCCATCCCACCTCTTCTTGTGTCTGGAGGACCAGGCTCTGGCAAATCTCTTCTCCTGTCAAAATGGTATTTTTAAAAATGGTTAATCTTTTTTTAAAATTACACTTCAAGCAAGAACAGCACAACATTGGATTGGTAGCAGGAGAAACCAGCATTAGAAAAATACTGAAGTTCTAAAAGCACCCTGTAAAGTCTAGTTCTGTTTTTAGTAACACTTGAATAGTTGTTCCCCTCTAGGCACCAGTTACAACCCACAGGGGACAGTGCCACGGAGAACCCCAAACCTCAACTCCTTCACAGGGGTCTGTACACTGTTCTGAGAATGAGGGTAGTGGTGGCTCCAAGGGAAAGTGTCACCTCCGCTAAGTCACCCTGCTGAGGTAAATGGGAGGGAGGATCCAAATCCAGAAACCTATTGTAGAAATGCATCTTGCAGTCTCTCATGATCTACAATAGAACCTGCTGCCATAAAATAAACTGACAGTATTCAGATTAGTAACACTTGAATGCAGATGCCATCAGGGAATTCATTACTGTCCCCTCCCCCAAGGATCTCCTCTTTTTGATGTTTTATCTTTGTAATCTGTGAATGTAGCGAGTATCTGAAAATCCCTCTAGTCCAATGGAGATCAAAAGTGAAAATTCTGATGTAAAATATTTAATTATGGATGATTAATTGTCTGACTTATTTTATTATGTATATACCGCACATGCCAAGCTAAAATGTATAATTACATTTGACGAATCTACAATAATATTTTTTGGAAATAAGAATATATTTGCAAAAATGTGGGCTATTGGGAATGTGTGTGTGTTTTTTTTTTTGCCCCATTAGGATTCAACTGCAACAGAAGCATTCACCAAACACACTAATTCTCTATCACTTTGTTGGGAGGCCCATGTCTGCCAGTTCAGAATCTGCACTAATAATTAAACGGCTTACTTTAAAGGTACTCTAGTTATTGTTTAGCACATGTAGCATTGTGTGTGTGTGTGTGTGTGTATGAATCTATTTAAAGTTCTTATGGCCCTGTCTGTACCCAATCAGGGTGATACAGACGACGATTGCACCCATTTTGTTGAGTTGATCATATATCAGAAATAAATTAAAATATCCTCTCTGAGGCTTTTCATAATACATTGTCATCAATTATGATTCTGATGAAAAATATTGATGGTTTATAGAGAAAGCCACATAAGCTTCTTTTACTATTTCCTGCCATCTGGCCGAGGAAAGAAGCAGGTGGCATCTGTTTTGTCTATGCATTGAGAAACCTGAAGCTGCATTTGCCAGTTGGCACCACACTGTAGTTGGACTATTGCTCTTCTATGTTAATTTGTTTTAGAAGTACATGTCTGATATGTGTGGAATAAATGAGGGGCCTGATTCTGCCAGGATCTGAGCTCCCTTTATCTTCAAAAGAAGTCACTCAGGGCTGCACAGGACTGAGCCCTTCAGAAAGATTAAATCAGCTCTTCCCTGTGTTGTTAAAAGCCTACACATTTTTATTTATACATTTTCCACACTTCTTATTCCTCAGATGGTCCCATGGGATTTTTAACCTCACGTTGTCCATCTAAAATTAAATATATAAGAACTTCAAAAAACATTCTCCTTTTTTTTTAATTTCTTGCTCCTTATATGCAGTGAAGGGAAAACAACTTTGTATGGACTTGTTTGAAATCAGCTCCCCAGGAGTGAATGATTTTATCTTGGGTCCACCTGTGTCTTTTTGTCCAACTCCCCTAAGCATTTCTTATGATGCAATATTTTTATGCATGTTTGTAATTTTGCAGCTCATGCAGCATTCTTGGTTAGTGTCACCTTTAACATTGGATCCAGCTAAGCTCTTGGAAGAATTTCCTCGTTGGCTGGAAAAACTTTCTGCTCGTCACCAAGGCAGCATTATCATAATTATTGACTCTATAGACCAAATACAGGTACATTTCCAACCTACTTGGCCTTTACAAATGCCAAATAAACTTGAAGTGGTGTATCAGGTTAGTAGTGACAGTGAGACAGTAAAACAATAAGTTTACTATAAGAGAGAAAATAAGTAGAAAATAATTTGCAATTTTACTAGATGAATTAAATTGTCATTTGATTTATCTATAAAACTTGGTATTTCTGGAATTTGCCAGAGTATGTTGCCTTTTGATCTGTCTCATTGCATTGTCTGCTGGGGGTGGATCCAAAATTGTGGACTGATTTGTGGGTCAGGTCACGTATCCAATCTGTAGGTGGTGAGAGTCTACATGATACTATGCTAACTACTTTACTTAAGCTGTCACCATGCTGGTGCATATAGAAAGGGGAGTTTGGCTCTATATAAAAAATGTGGCCCTGAACAATTTTAAGAGAATGGAGGCAATGAAGATTGTTTTCACTGGGCTGAACAGTTAATGAGATGATAGTGATTTGTGGCATTTATTTTTAATGAATTTTGAATTAATGCTCTGAAACTTGTTTTTAAGCAAGCTGAAAAACATATGAAATGGCTGATAGATCCCCTGCCAGTGAATGTAAGGGTGATTGTATCTGTGAACGTGGAAACATGTCCTCAGGCATGGAGGTATGTTGTTCTTTGGGGAGGTTTCAAAGTAGCCTGGGTTTGAATATACTTACATATATATGTTGCAGAATAAAATCTGAATCTGATTTTGTACCCACTGAAGTCAGTGGGAATTTTGGATTTGGATTTTCCCCATTGAACATATTATAATGCATATTAAACATAGGCATGTGCACTTGCAGACTTCCAGTACTTCGATGTAGTCAGCTGTCTTAGGGCAAGGTTAAAAATACAAATGTGACTTTGTATTATTAAAATCCTTTAACAGTAGAAGAGTGTAGTTTCAGATTTCTGCATTGATATCTTCTTTTTTTCCCCTTCAAGTAGTTAGGTCTCTTTTCTTTCACATACTATTTTGCTGGATTTTAATGTAATTTTGTTCTCTCCCACTAAAAGGTTGTGGCCAACTCTTCATCTTGAGCCATTGAATTCTAAAGATGTGAAATGTCTCATTAGTGCAGAATGTAGCTGTGCAGATGTTAAATTGACCAAAGAACAGGTATGTCTGTTGTAATTCTGTTGAAAGTATTTCACTCTAGAGTCTAGTATAAATATTTATAAAGATGTGGAAGAGTAAAATGAGCTGACAAAAGCTTATTTTTGTTAATGTTTCAATAGCCAGGAAAATGTGTTTTATTTAGTTAACTTATAGCCGTTTTACACAGGATTTGGTGTAAATATTTTTATCCAGAGGCTGATAGCACCAAATTCAGATGGAATCATAGGCGCCGACTTGAGCACCCATGGAAAAAAATTGGTGGGTGCTTAGCACCCACCGGCAGTTCCCCGCCCCACCCCCCTGCTCCAGCTTACCTCTACCTCCGCTTCCTCCGCGAGTGCGCTGCTGCGTCCTGCTTTTCCTCCCTCCCTCCCAGCGCTTGCACCGCGAAACAGCTGATTCTCGGGGCAGGGAGGGAGGGGGAACGCGGCGCGCTGGGAGAAGAGGTGGGGACGGGGCGGGGATTTGGGAAGGGATCCAATGGGGTAGGAAGGGGGCGGAGCTAGGGTGGGGACTTTAGGGATGGGGTTGGGATGGGAGCGGGGCCAGGGGCAGGGAAAGGGTGGAGTTGGGGCGGGGCCAGGGGCAGGGAAAGGGGCGGGGGGGCGCGGGCACCCACCGGCGCCGGAGAAAGTTGGTGCCTATGGATGGAATAGTATAAATTACTAGTAAAGGAACTATACTTTTACCCATCTTTCTGCAGACATGTCCTCCTGTTTTAGTATAATATGTATTTTCAGTAAAAATGCTTGGACATGTGCAAGGAAGCCATTTTGAATCCTATCCATGGAGCCTGATCCTAGCAAGGTGCCGATCATCTCCTGAGATGATCTAGCCCTATTTGATCCTTAACTTGAAAGGAAGCCGCCACTTGTATATATCCCACATCATGGAAAAACACACAACGTTTTGTACACTAGTCATGATGTGCTTTTTTAACATCCACAATCTGTGTTTTAGTGTCAAATCCTTAACTCCTCAGAGTGCTTAATATTACATTGGCTTATAATGTTTCTTTAAACACTTGTTTTAGGAGAAGAAACTTGAGAAACACTGTCGTTCTGCCACAACTTGCAATGCTTTGTATGTCACTCTTTTGGGCAAAATGATTGCTTGGTAAGTTGAGATGGCCTGACATTATTGTGCGAGTCTGTAGATTTTAAAAATACAAATTGCTTTATCAGCATATCAGAAAATGTTCAATTGAAAAAGAATTATTCTTTGTTGAAATGAAACTGCTTTAGCAGAAGAAAATAGAAAGTTATTTTCCCCATTTTTCTATAAAAAAGAAAAGAAAGCAGCACTCTACAGAATTAATGGTCTATCCCATTTTGATGCTAAATATTTAGGTACCCACTGAATCTGAATATAGTATATTATCCTCTCCCTATTCTGAATCCAGGTCTCTCTCCATCCTTTTGCTTCACTCTTCTTTTTGTAACTGTCAGTCCCTTTATTCCCTTTTTAAATATTAATTGGGAAGTATTCCTTTTATATTGAAAGGTGCTTTGTCTGTGGGCTGATGTGCCTGATGCTTTGCATCCTAGACTATGTCTACACTGCGTTGCAGTGTGGACTAGGGGGGTGTAAACTCCAGTGTGCACCATGAGAATGCTGCTGCTAGTATGAACTAAAAGGTACCTACTGCGCATTAACGTATTTCTCTTCAAACAGGTCTATGTTAATGTGAACTAAGTACCTTTTAGTTTGTGCTAGCAGTGTCCACACGGGACAGTTACAGTGGAATACTTCACACCCACATAGTCCAAGCTTCAGGGCCATGTAGATGAGTCCATAAGATTTTAAGACCAGGGGAGCACCACTATGATCCTCTGGTCTGATCTCCTGCGTAATACAGGACATAAGATTTCACCCTGTAATTCCTGCAGGTGGAGAGGATTCATCCTCCCTACTGTGTCAAAGAACATAACTGAGCACAGCAACTTGTGGCTGATCCAGCACATATCTTTTTGAAAGACCATCAATCTCACTTTAGAGACTCCAAGGGAGGATGCTTGTGATTGGTGGCTCACAATTGCTGCTTGTTCTTTATTATTTAAATATTTTATTTTTAGTTGCTTAGTTGCTGCTGGAGACGCACTTTATAAAATAAAAGTATTAATTTGGGAGGGGTTACAAGCTGGGAGGGGTTGCAAGTGATTTGGAGGATAGGACTAAAATTCAAAATGATCTGGACAAACTGGAGAAATGGTCTGAAGTAATAGGATGAAATTCAATAAGGACAAATGCAAAGAACTCCACTTAGGAAGGAACAATCAGTTGCACACATTCAAAATGGGAAATGACTGCCTAGGAAGGAGTACTGCGGAAAGGGATCTAGGAGTCATAGTGGATCACAAGCTAACTATGAGTCTACAGTGTAACACTGTTGCAAAAAAAGCAAACTTCATTCTGAGATGTATTAGCCAGGAGTATTGCAAGCAAGACACGAGAAGTAATTCTTCCACTGTACTCCGTGCTTATTAGGCCTCAGCTGGAGTATTGTGTCCAGTTCTGAGCGCTACCTTTCAGGAAAGATGTGGACAAATTGGAGAAAGTCCAGAGAAGAGCCACAAAAATGATTAAAGGTCTAGAAAACATGACCTGTGAGGGAAGATTGAAAAAATGGAGTGTGTTTAGTCTGGAGAAGAGAAGACTGAGAGGGGACATGATAACAGTTTTCAAGTATTTAAAGGTTGTTACAAGGGGGTGGGGGGGGAGAAAATTTGTTCTTAACCTCTGAGGCTAGGACAAGAAACAATGGGCTTAAATTGCAGCAAGGGAAGTTTAGGTTGGACATTAGGAAAAACTTCCTAACTGTCAGAGTGGTTAAGCACTGGAATAAATTGCCTAGGGAGGTTGTGGAATCTCCATCATTGGGGATTTTTAAGAGCAGGTTGGACAAACACCTGACAGGGATGGTCTAGATAATACTTAGTCCTGCCTTGAGTGCAGGGGACTGGACTAGATGACCTCTCAAGTTCCCTTCCAGTTCTATGATTCTGTAAATAAAATCACAGCATCCAGTTTTACATTTCTGTCTCTTTATGTGATATAATCTTATTCCCATTCCGTTGCCTGCTAAAGTAAAGGTATCGCTGCTTTTTTTTTTTATTACAAAAGGGAGACACTTATGGCATATGTTGGTAGTTGTGTTCAGGTGTTAAATTCTTTGGGTTCTAATCCTGCAAGATGCTGCACACCTCCTGAAGCAGGGCCAGCTCCAGGCACCAGCTTAACAAGCAGGTGCTTGGGGCGGCCAAAGGAGAGGGGCAGCACCTGCGGCAATTCGGGGGCGGCAGGTCCCTCACTCCCTCTAGGA